TTTTATGATCAATTCTGTAGGTTTTAAGTCCATAAATATATGATGACACAACATGTATTGAATTTGTTGTTGACTGAATGAAAATAATGAAATAGTGCTATAGTGAAAATAGCTAGCAGTGTACGAAAATGTCAGTATTGGTGAGAATTTATGAATTAAGTGAAAATGTAGGGTGAGAATCCATATTTAATTACTATATATATATTTATTGTAAAGGCATGAAGATGTCATGATAAGCTATTGGTTATGTTAAGTGAGAATTGTAGGAAGCATAATTATTCAAGTTTATTGTGCAGTGATTAAATGAATAACATAATTAGGAGTTAGATATAACAAACAAGAAGTAAATCAGTAAATAATTGTTAAAATTGTACGGCATGAAAGTGCTGCTGACTTGTGAGAAAAACTATATTTAATCAGTAAATAATAAATATAAGTTTATTGGTTCATGGTCCCGTTTTTCTTTCCTCTTCTAGTTATAATTTACTTCATGCCCTCAGCCCTATATTTAATTAAATTTCAACAATAAAATAAAAATAGAATAAGAAAAACTAAGCTGGTTCGACCATAGGGGAAATAACTAACACACCTTTGTTAATTAACAATTAAGGTAATAACCTTTTAAAAGGATTTGAGAATGAAAATAATTGCAACAACACTTTAAATGGCCAAAATCAACGGAAAATTCTTCTAAAATCCCCAAACCACAAATTCATTTCCTCCTCAGTCCCCATTGCTTTTAATGTTCCTTGTCAGTCCCCATTCCTAATTTCTATTTCTTTACTACTCCCCATATATATACTACCTTATTATTAATTTATTTTTAATGGTAAAACATTGATGAAGCATGTACAGATGAAAAAAAAATCTTCTCCCTCGTTTGTACTCTCTCTCTCTCTATCTGAAAAAAAAAATCAAATCGCTGTGATCTTTTCATCTCCCACCCATGCTCGACTCAATCGTCAATTGACCTCTTCATGGAATTCGAATTGATTCATGAGCCAAAACCGGTACCGACGAGCTCGACGCCGTCGAGAAATCGTCGTGCGGCCGCTTCATCCATTTCGAGCAGATCCTGGCAGGGGATGTTGGAATTAACCTTATACGAAAACCATCGCTTTATCCCAGGAGCATTTATATCAAATAATCGAGAATCAAACTAGATAGCGGAAGCGTACCTTAGGTAGATTTC